CATGCGGCCCGAGGCCCGCGGGTTGGACAAGCCTGATCTAGAGAGTCTATCTGTTCTCCCCCCACTCCCAATGTACTGTAGCACAATTGTGTTTGCTGCCCAAATCCCTAGATTCTCTTTTATTCATAGTGATCAAAACACTTACAACTGGTAAACCAAATAGAATGATTGCTTAAATCGCTACAGCTAATGATTTTCCATAGGGTGGGAGAATAACAGAACAGAATAACAGAGTTGGAAGGGCCCTTGACGTCTTCTAGTCCAATTCCCTGCTCAGGTAGAAAACCCTATACCAGGAGTTGCCAACCTTTTGGACTTCAGGGACCACCAAACTCATAATTTTAAATCCCGTGGACCAGAGACTCTGGGAAAATCCCCAAAAAATCTGTAGAAAAATCTCCCCACCCTGTTTTCCTACTAATTGATCATTCTTTATTTGGGATCGCAGGATACCCTCTCCAGCTCCGTTCTCGGGGGGGGGGGGGGGGAGAGAGAGAGAGAGAGACTTTTGGCTTCATGCAAGGAAAGCAGCCAAAGTCTTTATTTCTCTCCCCCAAACTCCGCCAGAAATGAGTCTTTGCCAGTGCAGCCTCTTGGAGCAGGATGCCTTGCAGGGTCCCAAAGACTCATTTCTGGCGGAGTTTGGGGGAGAGAAAGAAAGACTTTGGCTGCTTTCCTTGTGTGTAGCCAAAAACAGAAGAAGAAAGAAGTGGAAAGAAGCAGCCCAGTGGCCAGATGTGGTGAGTGGGGCAAGTTCCCCCCTCCACCCTTTCCCCACTTCCCTCACTACCTCATGTTGTTCTCAATGCAAGCGATGCAATCCTTGTGTTCCTGCAGGCCATGTGGGCAGTGCTGGCTTGTGTTCCCACGCAGCCTGGATTAATTGCTTTGGGGGGTGGGTGCTTTGGGGATGACATTTCTCTACAGACCACCAAAATTTTCTTGTGGACCACCAATGGACCCCAGCTCACTGGTTGGCGACCACTGCCCTGTTGGAAGAAATATCCTTCTGGGTTCAGTTCCAAGTGGGGAAAAAAGACACTGGAAACATGGAGGCTGTTTGGAAGGTTTAATGGTGGACAGGAGGACCACCACATGGCTTGGAGCTCCAAAGTGAAAAAGATGGATGATCACATGCTTCAAGGTGAAGAAAGAGATCAAGAAAAGGGCTGAGGTGCTGAGAGTGCCTGGGTTTTATAACCT